ACCCAGATGGAGATGGAGAATATAAAGCGAAAAGGTGGAGGAAGAAAAAAAACAACTTTTAAATAACAAAAGAGTAAACGCAGCCAGAAGACTTTCAGAGGACTCGATCAGGACTATGGCTGGCTATAGGCGTGGCTGGTGTTGTTTCTGCTTCATGATGTTGTTGTTGTTGTTGTTGTCGTTGTTGTTGTTGTTGTTATTTTTCTTGTTATAGTCTGGCGCGCCGCCAAATACAATTTTTTCCCTTTTGCTTTTTTGGCACACAAAACCCAACACGCTGTGCTTCTTCTTCTTCTTCTTCTTCGCTTTGCTGTGTTAGAGGTTTTCTTTAGTTTTTTGTTGTTGTTGCTTTGCATTTCTCGCCTGCGATTTGGCGTTCGCCTCTCGCCTCTCGCCTCCCTTCTCTATCCTCTCTCCTCTTGCCACGGACCATATTTTAGTGCATCGATGGCGAAATATTTTTCAATTTTTCAACACATTTGGCTGGTAGCAGCAAAACGTTGCTCATATTTTCACAAGCTGTCAACATATATCTTGTTGTGGGTGGGGGCCGTGTAGGTGGCGCCACTGTCGACGGCGGCTCCTGCTGCTGCTGCGTGTGCATTTCTGGCAGCACTGTTGCTGCGGCAGGCAGTGGCAGTGGCAGTGGCAAACGGCAAACAAGACTTGTAGCAAGTGCGCTCACGCCATGGCCACGCCCACTCACATATGAAAGTGACTGTACACACACACACACACTTACACAGAGACAGAGACAAACACACACACGCACACTAACTCACGCTCCTGCTCACTGATTGACAAAGGCAAAGCAGACAGCGGGGCAGCGAAGGGACTGCTTCTGCCGCTAGGTGGCGTCTGGCGGCTAGCGGCAGGCGTTTGCTTGACAGTCAGCGCCAAACATGGCATAAAAATCAGCGCCGACGCTCGACGAGCTCGCTGGCTCGTAAATGGGCAAAACACTTTTACAAAGTGCAGCACATAAGCACACACACACACACACACACACACACACACACACACACACACACGCACACAAACAAACACGCACTCACGCACACAAAGAGAATAGAGCGTATGAGGGGAGAGTTAAAGCGAGAGTAGTGAAGATTTGTTAACGCAATGGCGGCGCACTTAACACTCAGCTTAATCTCCATCCATCTCCACCCCGCCCGCCTAGCGACAGAATTGATGGCGTTTTTGGCGAGCGACGCTTGATGCGCGCGTTTTCAGCTCGATTTGATGGTGCTCTTTGCAGTGCCTTTTGATTGCCGCTCCTGACCTCAGCAATTAAAGTCGCCACGTAAAGCCTAGTCTAGCGCCCGACTCGTGACACGCACGTGCGTGCGTTCGGATGTGCGTGTGTATGTGTGTGGGCTGGTGCGTCTGGGTTTGATTTCAATTTAGTTGTGCTATTGCCTTGCTTGGTCTACCACAACAAAAAATAAAAAGAAAAAAATATAAGCCAAATAGGCATAAAGTAGACCGAGTACATACCTCTGTCTCCCCCCCTCTCTCTCTCTCTCTCTCTCTGTTTCAATTACCCTGGAAATCCGGCCGAAAATAAAACCTCGTATTCGGCAAGCATTTGCCTAGTCTCGGTCGCGGTCACACATTGCATGCCAATTGATGATGATCCTGATGAGCAGTGGAGCGTGGGCTAGGCAGGCAGGCAGGCAGGAGGCGGAGGTATGTGGGCGGGCGGCTGGTGCATTGGAATGTGAAAACGCGTTCAATTGAAACTGGGTTACAGCTTTGGGGTTACGGGTTATGGGCTGTATGAGCTTATAGGTTATATGGCTAATGGCGTAGATTGGGTGCGTATGTGTGTATACGTATGCGTGTGTGTGTGTCTGTGTGTGTGTGTTTGCTTTTTGTTTTTTGATTATACGAGCACATATTGGCAATGGCCATGGCCAAAGAGCAGCCCAGACATCGAGGTCAGCTGATTGAATACACATACATGCATGCATATGTACATATGTACATATGTATGTATATACGTACATCGCACGATTGTTGCTGGTGATGCTGATGATTTGGAGCAGGTCCTGAGCGGGAACTAATTGATTGCCTGACAAAGATTCCATAGACATACATACATGCATATACATATATACATAAACACACATATACACCTATATGTGTATGTATGTATGTATACATATATAAATAGCTGCAGTTGGGGCTTTTGCGTGCGCTCGGTGACATTTTGATTGATTGTTGATTAATTTTAATTGCTTTGGCAGTGACTGAATGGCCTTGTGATTAATTGTTTGATTGTCAGCCTAATTAAATATATAGACATATTAATAATTGTCAAAACAAGTTTGTAATTCAGTGAAATTACCTTAGCGTAGTTGATGATTGAAATGCAATTTTGATTGATACTTTTCTGATTCGTGGGCGACGCATCTCACATCGTTTGATTAAGTTACTTGTAATTTCTTAAATACACAATGATCGATCAGGAGCAGTGAAGTAATTGATGATTCTTAACGAATTCCATTTAAAAAATTCTTATTGTTTTTCAATACGTATAAGAGATTTTGAAAGCAGAGCTGCCAGGGTATCCACCTGCAAATAATTTAGTTAAATATCAAAAATTCATATGCTATCGGATATTGCAAACTGAATAGGTGTATCAATGTATTCTCTAATCATTGTGCTCTTAATTAAATGTATTAAAGCTTAATATTTTATATATTTCAATACATTTTTAACTTCCAGAGATTCAAGACACTTATTGAAAAATGCCATTCACAGTAAACATATGAAAAATATCGGCTTATCGATACTTTACTGTGCTGGCAATGATCAATAGCTGGCTCAGCTAGCTCAGTTCTCATTGTTCAATCGGACTTTCGAGCAGGCGTACGTGAAAGTTTCTTTTTGTTAAGTCAAACTAACATTTTTTAAAAATACATACATCGTAATTTCATTGGCTAAAGCATTTGGAGACATAATTCTTGTTAAATCAGGTGAGCTTTCACAACTCTTTGTGCAATGTACTTTTATACTAGAGCCTTTAAAACGAGAGCTGCGTAAATATTTCTGCATCGTTCCATGACATTCGAGAACATTTGTATATGTACATACATACATATGTATGTATGTATTTATTTGCATACTAGAGACTTTTATGGGCAGGGTACGTAAGCATACATACATATGTACATATATGTATGTGTCATCGGTAAATCTATGGTAACAAAGACAACTTTCATTTGCGAATAGCTATACATACATACAATATGTACATACTTTACATACATGTATATATATAAGAACATTTTGTGTAAACCATTGAAAATAGGAAATCAGGGTGTTAAAATGTATTTAAGAGGCAGAAAGAGGCGTTGAGGACCACATTCTTGATAATGGCAAGAGCTGAGTCGATTTAGCCCTGTCCAGCTGACCGTATGTGGGCACGGGTTGATCTCATAAAGCAGAACAGCTAGAGGCCTAATTTTATTTTAGGTATCTGTTGTATGTATAAGACTTTTCGCAGACCGCAGCTGCCGGCGTAGCCACATATACAAAACTTGCATTAAAATCAAGCTCGTGATAGCTTTAGGATTATCGATACTTTCTTGGGCTGGCAACGACCAAAAGCTGGTTTAGCTAGTCATTGCACGTTTTCATTTTCGAGCAACAAACACGCGTATCACTTGTGAAATTATATGCATACATAGCCTTTATTTAACAAGCAAAGTACGCAAATAGATCAGCGCATCATTCGATTAAACTTTCGAGAACAATTTCCCCTTAAAACAAGTAAGTTATTCACAAATCTTTGTAATATTTAACAAAAATGAAATACAGCGAAACCTTCGAGAAGAATTGATTTTATAAAATGGGGACAATTTTTTTAATAGGTAATTAAATAAGCATCATGTTGTCTCATAACGTCGCCATAGATAAAGCCAAATAGAATTTTCATTTATGAGCAGACATAATTTTTTAGGAAATTTTTTTTCTAATATGTATGTAAGTTTTCGCAGGGCAGCGTAGCCACCCGAATAAACTTGGCTAATTAACGCTGAAAAACTTAAGTATCGATAATTTCTTTTACTTGCAGCTAACAATAATTGTCGAATTCAGTCGTGTTCTTATTGCACGCTTTCGCTGTCAGCAAACCGGCCGTGACAAATTTCTTGTGGTATTATATTGGAGACTAGAGCAATCGACAAGAAAGTCCCGAGATAGATTTCAAGTAAGTTCGCAAATCTCTGCAGTATGTGTGTTAATACGTTACGTAAATATGTGCATACATACTATGCATGTAAGTACATAGTATGTTCATTGTTCCGCGACTTTTAATCAATTAGATTATTCAAAAATCATTGTTTTTTACATGAAAACCTATGCAATACGCAGTATACGTAAACACGAGTATGAATACGGTACTTAAATTATTGCCTTTTTCAAATATAAAATATTTCATATATAAATTTTTTATCTGTATTAGTGACCCGAGCTGCCAGCGTAGCCATCTGTAGTAAAATTGCATGTGCATAAATTATCGCTGGCACTATCGAATATTGCAAATTGAAAAAATGTATAATTATATTATATAATCATTGTGTTCTTAATTTACTGGGCAATAGTCGCATATTTAGTATTTATCAATTCAGTTTTAACTATTTTCGGCGAATCATAACACAATTCTTACAAAAAATATCAATCACATTAAACACGTGCAAAATATCGGCTGATCGATATTTTGTTGTGCTGGCAATGACAAATGAGCGCACTGACGCGTTCCAATTGTAAATTTTCACATTCAGAGCAACCTTCGAGAAAGATTGTTTGTTAAATCAAGTAAATTGTGAAGGCACCTTAGTTTCTGTGTATTTTGAGACTAAAGCCTTTAATTAACAAGGTGCATAAATATATCTTCATCACATTGTTCCATAAACATGTCGTCGCTAAAGGCAAGTGCTAAGGAAAATTCGTGTAAAAATTTTAAGCACACTTCGAAATCTGGAAAAAGCAAAATGAACAGGACATCTGTAATCAAGTCCATCTCTCCGCAAAAGGTGCCGAAATCTGATCCGACAAGCACCACAAACGTGCTGAAGTGTTTCATGCGCCATCACAAGCGGTCCCTGGAGGAATTGAAGAAGAAGTCGAACGAGATGTCCGAGAAAATGGAAAAAACTGAGATTTACATTGCCGAGAAAAACCAGGAAAACGCTCAATTGAAGAAACAGTAATTTCAACTATTGTAATTGTATTTATAGTAACATATTTGTTGACAATTTTTAACTTTCGCTAACAGGCTGCAAGATATTAAGGAGCAACTGGAGAATGTGAAGGATACATGTAATGGTTTATCTAAGGAAAACTATGAGCTGAAGGAGAAGTACATGTCTTGCCACAAGAAGTATATTGAATTAGAGATTTCCTATGATACAGAATTCACAAATTTGAATGCCAACATGGTCAAACAGAAAGCTGATTTAGAAAGTGCTAACCGTCTAAATGCACAGGTGAGTTAATGGCAAACAGAATGCATAGAAGGCGAATCATATCATCAATCTTATCATGTTTAGCTGAGGGCTGAGCACATCGAGCAACAGCAGGAGGCGGCCCGAATCCAGGCCGTGTTGATGCAGAAGGAAAGCCAATTGATCGAAATAAAACTGAAGGCAGATGAACTGCAGGCCTATAGTTTCGAACTGAAGGCGGCTTTTGACGAGTATAAGAAGAATATGTCCCTGAAACATGAGGTTAGAGAAATCAAATGGGTGTGAACACAATTCTAAAAAAAAGAAAAACCATAACTCTTGTATTATAGCACGACACCACCAAATTGGCAGAAGAGGTGAAGGAGCAGGCGTCTACAATTCGTCAGCTTATACAAAACAACGAGGAGCGTGACGTTGAGTTGCAGTTAGCTTTATCTAATCTGAAAAAGGCTGAGGAGTATAATGGAGATCTTTTAAATCGTAATAATCAGTTGTCGAATGAGGTGTCTGACATTGCTAACCGTATGAGAGTTGAAGTAGAGAATCATAACAAGAAGACTGGGGAATTAAATATGCAGATTGTGCAAATGGTGTCTGAAACAAAGCGTTATCAATCCGAAATTGCTAAGCTCGTAGAGACAAACAACACTTTAAAGAATGTTAATCTCGAGGCTGCTACTGCCATGGAAAATGAGATGGCTAAGGCTAATCAGGATATGCTTGATCTGAAGATGAAGTGTGAACAACTTCAGAAGGAGCATTTGGATACAACCAAAACCTTATTAGCCGAAAAGGCCGACTTGGAAGATAAGTTGCAGGCTCTGAAGGAAGTCCATGAGGTAATTACCAATCAGCAAGGGCCAAGATGTTAAATTAATGCTTTTTAATTCACAGGCAAACATCGTAGCACTGGAGGCTGAAATACGCCAAAAGGAAGAAGTCCGTTCGGAGTTTGAACAAAAAGTTGCCGAACTGGAACGTCAGAAAAATGTGAGTGCGATAATTGGACAATCAAAAATTGAAGACTCTTGTAATTGTAAGCTCTCTTCTAACAGAACACCATAGCGGAACTTACCTATAAAGTAAACCAAATTAAGAATCTCTCTGTCCTTCCAGTAAAAAGCGCTTTGCTAACCACTAACCAGACCCAACCGAATACTAACAAAACCAGTCCATCGAAATCCATACCTGTAAATTCAATAGCCCCCACTGAGATTTCAACAGACGAAGGCACACCTGCACGCCGCAGGCAAATTAAGCGACCTCTTGCTACACTTTACAATTCTGATTATAACACTGAAACCGAGGATGAGTTTGAGAACGAGATAGGTCATAATCCTACAGCCGCTAAGATGGTATGATTCCATAGCATTAATAATGTTCAATTTGTAATGAATTTCTTTACTCTATTACAGAAGAGAATGAATCGCTCAAAGGGTTCCAACAAGAATAAATCTGCTAAAAATTTGAGTGCCTTCGATAAATTGAAAAATAATTTATAAGTCAACTGTATTTGTAATTCATACATAACCAATTCGTATATTTTTCACTTAATACTTGCTCAGCTCAAGTATCTCTGTTTGAAAGCCTCGACGAAAATATTTTAATTTTGTTCATTTGAATGTCTATGACATGTGCTTAAACATACAAATAACTTGAATTCAAAAACTGTACCACTCGTGGTATTGACTCACACTTTTATGGTTTTTAAACTTTATAATCCTATTCTTAATCACGTTCAATAAATGGATAATGTTCTTTATTTATTGTATTTAATTCATTAGAATAATCTGATTTGCGGTTATAATTACGAGCTTAGGCTTCATTGAGGCAATGATCAATGCGTGACTTGGACTAGCTTAAGATGATTAATATTGATGCTGCTGACTGATTCATGTCAAGTGCTCTCAACCCGCTGCTCATCAATTGATAAGAGCCATCAATGGACCTGATTCTTCGCCGCTAATTCAAGTTTTTAACTTTGATTAGCATTTTGCAGACCGCACAATGGAGCACTGTGCATGCGTATACATGCCGTTGCCGCTGGCCAACCCAGAATGATTGATTGGATTCTTACCGAACAAACGCCACCAGTTTGTCCACTTATCCACTTAACCATCCATCACCATCAGAGCTCGGGCCCCCTCGGTCGCAATTCAATAAAGTTAAAGCCGCAACGCCACGCCCAGCACATGACCATGGGCATTGCCCCTCTGCCAGCACAACAACCATTGCTAATTGTATTGCGGAGGAATAAACGCCGCAATCCTTTCAGTCGCCTCGCACCACAGCGGCGACGGCGGTGGCAGCGACAACAGCAGCGGGAGCAGCAGCAGCAGCAGCAGCAGTGACGGCGGCAACAAGAGCAACTGTTTACTGCCATCGCTACAGTTACAGTTACAGCAACAATAACTCATGGGAAACAACGCGCCATTGATACGTTTTGGCGACAATAGCCGCCCGCCACGTCTGCCACGCACCGCAAAAACTAAACAGGCCCCCGATGCTCGGTTTAATCACAAACAAATGCGTCCGGCCACTGCTGACAGAGTGGCCCAACAACAATAAAGTGCCCGGCAATCCGTGCGCCTCACCAAAAACAATTGCTGGCTGGCTGACTGGCTGGCGTCCCACATTATCCGTCCCACATCGCTTTGTACCGCCGAACCGCCTGCTACAAATCCGGACAATGACAGACCGTTACACATTTTAGTCCGCTATTAATTTTCGGAAAAATATTCAAAAACCAAACAGCGAAAGTTTTGGTTTCATCTGTTGTGCCAACAACAGCAGCACCAACATTTTGACTGTACAATTATTATTTGACTATTCTCTGTTGGCTCTGACTGTGGTGGGCGTTGCCTGACAGTGGGAGCCACTTCCATGGCACCCTTCCTGGGCCTGGCCGCCCGTTCGCCTGCATTGAAGCACACTGAAATAATTATCAGCGCTCTGATTTGCGTGCACAACAGCAACAGCAGCAGCAGCAGCAACAACAACAATGTTGGTAAATCACTTACGCTACGTTTATCCAAAAAGTAAAAGAGAATACTTCGACCATGCCAGCAGCACCTAGCAAGTCCTGCTCAATAGCAAAGCGCCTCCACGCTCAGTCCGCACCGAAGGCATTTGCTGATTTGTACGTCCGCCCGGCTGCAGCCGACGGCTGAGAGATGCGAGATGCTGAATGGAGAGCAAGGAGCAGAAGCGACATCAGCGCTGATGATTTTTGTTGTCGTTGTTACGAGTATTTGTTGCAAAGCGCATAAAAAGCATAAGCGCGTAAATAAAGTCAACCTCATTTATTTTGAATATAAACTACATTTTTTACGACTGCCAACAGCCAGAAACCAGCAGCGGCACCAGCAGCACCAGCAGCAGGAGCAGGAGCAGGAGTAGGAGGAGGAGCACCAGCCAGACCCAAAGTCAAAGCACTTTGCAATAGTCACCGTCATCGCTGGCATCGCTGTGGCTGTCGCCGTTGCCGGCAGCCGTCGCCTGATTTTGTTACAGGGCTCCGTGAACAACCTGGCAGACGGCCATGTCAGCTAAGTGATGCAGTTGAGTCGCGCCGCGGCATTCTTTACACATTCTTCAGCGTCTTGTGTGAATGAACTTTGTAGCGCTCAGCTTTTGTCTGGCTTACAGCTGGCGGCTGCTTGCTGTGAAACTGTCGCCAAAGCTGCCTGCTCGGAAACTCCAGCCACAGCTGCTCTTCAAAAGAATCGTAGTTGATAATGATGATTCCAAGTTAGAGTATCTGCGCGGCGACTTGCCATCATGTGCCGTTAGCTATTGTTATACACTCTGTAATTAAAGAGCAGACAGGTAAACATCGACTAGACGCGCACGTTATTTGTTTTAACAAAAATTCTGTATGATGAAATTTTTAAAATTACAACAGTAAAAATGTTTTTTGATGCGAGAAATATGCATGCGTACTTCATATCAAGCACAGGCATTTAAATATAGAGCGTAAATAATAAAAATAAAAATATGTATGTATATATTGTTGCATTATTATCGCTGGCAAATATTTTATAGTGGAGCATCAATAACTTTTGCCTGTTTCGAGCAAACGTTTTACATTTTATGAAGCTCTGGCGGGCTTCGAATTCTCCTCTTCTGTTTTTTTGCTGGGTATTTTGAGTATCTTGAGGCTGCATACTCTAAGTTTTGTTTGTTGTTGTTTTCGGGTTGTTTTTTTTTTTTTTTTTTTTTGTCAGCTTGCTTATTGTTTTTATTGCATATTGCTGTTGTTGTTGCTATTGTTGTTTTTGGGTTTGTTGTTGTTTGCGTTGGGCGCTGTTATCGTCTCGCCCAACCAAAGGTAAGCAATTTTCGTTGAGCTCTCGACATTAAACGCAAAAATGACATACAGCTTACAATGTGTGGGTAGGGCGGTTACGAAGGGGGGGACGATGGGTTGAAATGGCAGTTGCTGTTGATGTTGGATTGTGTGTTGGATGGGTGGGCGACACGGGGGCAACAGTTCATTGCCGCCAGTTTCTTGTTTGCTCCAAAATACACAGGGAGAGGGAGAGAGAGTGAGCGAGACAGAGACAGAGACAGAGAGAGGGGGAGAGACACAAAAACCAGAAAATAAAGAGAAATGAATGCATTTGTCATGACCTCGAAACGGAAACAATTGAAAAAAGCTTTTCCCATCGCGTTGCGGCTGCTGCAAGCCAGCAGCAAACGGCGACATTGCCAAAAGCGGGCAGCAGGAGGGGATGGAGAAACAGGGACAGACCCCAGCCAAAAGGGCGACCCCTCTCAAACACACACACACACACACACGCACACATACAACTGTAACTGAGGCGTAGCACAAAAATGCAACTGACATAGAAAAACGGCTTTTTATATGGCCAAGCACACACACAAGTATAAATACATATATATATATATATATATACATACATATGCTCATGTGTGTGTGTGTGGCAGTTACATACATACATATAGACAAAGTGTGCCCGAGCTGGTTTCAGCTCAATATAAAGTCTCTGGCTCCGTTTTGCTTAGGTTTTCTTTTCTTTTTTGTTGCCTTCTTTCTGCACACAATGCAGCAGCAAAAACAACAAAAGGTGGCAGTAAAAGAAGAAGCAGATGACGGCAAAACGACTGGCAAGAAAATTCTTTTAGCCATTTGAGCAACGTAAAGTAAGTCAGTTGACTGGCCAAAGGCACATCATGGCCCTGTGAATGGGCCAGCACAGTTGGTCAGTTACAAAAAATGAAAGGCAAAGAGCGAGGGCGTGTCGGTGTATCCGTGTCCGTGTGTGTGTATGTATGAGTGTGGCCTACGGAACAGCCTGGGGCCGAGATTGAGCGAGCTTGTGCCTGGCAGCAGGTCGACATTGACGTTGACGTGAGCGTTAACGTTAACGTTAACGTAAACGTTTACGCTCACGTTTGCGCTTACGTTGTTGTTGATTTGGCAGCTGCTACGGCTACGGCTGCGGCTACGGCTGCTGCTGTGCCTGGTTAGGCCTGGCTGCGTCAACTTCAAATTAATTGCGCTTCAACTTCATTATTTTGCATGCCTGAGCATGCCTGTTGGCCCGGCTTTAGCTTTGGCTTTCGCTTTCGCTTTGGCTTTGCCGTTTTAGCCTTTAGTCGCTGCTGCTGCTGCTGCTGCTTGGCACTTTTCGGCGCCTGCCTGACACCATTTTGCGCTTGGTCAATATTTCAAACAGATTAGGAGAGCAACAAAATGCGCCTTAATTGAATGCCACAAGCCGTCGAACCCAGCCCAGGCCCCAAGCTCCAAGCCCCAACCCCGTACCCAAGCCCAAACCCAAACCCAAACCCCACCCAGACCAGTCAAACCCAAGCCAGCTGCTGCTCGGCACAAGACATACATATTTAATGAGCCTCGACACGTCTTGCGACAGGCTCGCAGCCTCCTGCTCCTGCTGCTGCTGCTGCTCCTGCTGCTGCTGCTCCTACTGCTGCTGCTGCTGCTGGTTATGGAGTCGGAGTTGGACTTGGAGTGGCAGACGCTGCTTGTGACTGGTGGCAAGTGGTTCCAGTTGCTCCACAGCTTCGTTCGCGTCCGTCCACATGGCATCGTTAGCGTTGCTCGCTGCCGCTGTCGCTGTCGCTATCGCAGTCATAGACGCAACCGCACCTTGGCAGCGGCACGCACTCACACGCACACACACACGCACACACGCACGCACACGCTTACACATATACATACATACATATATGCTGGTATAAGCCGAACCATAAATTTCGTTAATCATTGAACTGGAAATTTAATAGCCAAGCCATATACACAAGCGGCATTAAGCGCCAGGCAGTCTACGCAGCCATTTCCGTATGCCCTTCAGCTGGCACT